CCCCCCCACCCCCCCAATAAGATCGGTACAATATGTGAATTTTTGGACTTGTACTACCTTCGGTAGCACATCAACTAGATTCTCCTTTGTATATATCTTCTTCAACAGAACCTTGTCTGCTTCAATCAAGTTCCAAACAAAGTGATACCTTATGTCAATATGTTTGGTACTAGCATAATGAACTAGATTTGTGGTCAATAATATAACTAACCCAAAACTTAAGTATTTACAAAACTAACATTCATCATTTTTTTTTCTTTTTGAAATATCAAACCCACATAACACAATCATACCATCAAGATTTGATTAATGCACAAAATAGAAATTGAAGTTTTATTTTAAATCTCAATATTTGAGTGAAAATTTTCAAAATTTGATACAAAAAGATGCCCAAAAATATAGAGTATTTTCCTTAGAGATTTTTAATGCATCTCATTTGATACTTTAGTCCTTAATTATAAAGGGAAGTTAAACTACATGAGTTAGTCTATAGCATTTGCTATAACTAGCCATGAGACAAAATGGCAAACGAATAGTGTCGATCCACGAATTCTCTAGAAACCTAATTCAAGTGCCCATTTTGACTTGGTGCACCAGATCAAGACATGGACGTGCAACATCATCTCCACATATATAAAAATGAAACAAAATTGAGCAATCATATTTCAATCACTTATTCACCTGTCATTATCTCATTATCAATAACACTAGAACTACTTGGGTACTTATAATGAAAGAGAAATCTAAAAGATAACAAATTTTCCATGACAAGATTCAAACTCAATTCCATTGAAAATTTTATATCCTTAAAAATTGATAATGCAAAGGAATAATTCAATTACATCCTTGAGTCCTATCTTTCAAAAAATAAATTCATTCATATGAATTTATTTATTGATTCAAATAACAAAAGGTGATCGCTAAGAGAAAGAATATGCATCTCCTTAAGGTATTTCACTCAATTATAATTTTCCACCAAATTCCAAAACATTTTTGTGGGAAAGCAACTTTTACCGCAACATACCTTATCAATTGAATGCCTAGCAAGGAGCTTAAATTCAAAATACATCTTCACATTTTGATGGTTACCTATCCTCACCTCAGAGCTTTCTCTTCTAAAATATCGTTTTAAATCTTTAGGTGCATATCCTTTGTTCATATTCATTCTTAAAATTGCACAAAACTTGACCTAAATATAGAAGTGTATTTTTATTGAATATTCCTCCAGCAAATATAGGTATAAGTGCTACTCTCCTGTTACCAGAAAAGACAACTCCATAGATATCATATCTTCTAAAGTCAATCCTACTACTACCTCAAATCTGATGTCCAAAAGATGAGTACAAATGAACATAAATTTTGAGATGCACTTGATGACACCTACATAGGGTGTATACCTTTTGCACTTGATGGAATCCCCATTTCTTGATAACAACTACTGAAAGGAGAACTCTAATAACATTTAGTATGATAATTGGTGCAAAGGTCTCATGATAGTCAATTTCATAGGCTTGACTGAAACATTTTGCTACTAGTCTGGTTTTATATCTCACAATACTCGCATCAACTTTGCATTTGATATTGAACACTTATTTGAATCCAACTAACCTTTTATCCTGAAAGGGTCTAGTAAAAATTCATTTGTCATTATGCTTTAGTGCTTGAATCTCCACTTTGACTGTTTTCCTCCATTCTGAATTTTCAAGTGCTTCATGAATGGATTTTTTGATCCACATTATTAAGGCTGGAATAAAAAACCTTCTAGGATGAGGATAGTTTCCCATAAACTACATACTCTTGAATTGGACATCTAATGCAAATTTCATTGTCACCAAAATCAGAAGGGGATAACTCATTAGTACTAGACTCGACCCTAAATTTCATATGAATGTGGACTCGGGTTTTGGTTTGAGCAGTTCTATCCTTGTAAGTTGTCTTCTACCTACTCAAGATTTTTCTTCCTCCTTATGTACACACGAAGTTTTTTGTTATAGACTTCAGATTGGTTTTGATTTGTTGATTGGACTTCCTCAACTAGAACAAGTGGGCTATAAGAGTAGGTAGTGAGGCTGTGTAGGTGTCATCAAGTGTATCTCAAAATTGATGTTCATTTGTACTCATCTTCTGAACATCAGACTTGAGGTAGTAGGATTGATTTTAAAAAATGTGATATTCATGAAGTTGTATTTCTAGTAACATGAGAGTAGCACTTAGACCCACATTTGTTGGAGGAATATTCAAGAGAAATACACTTGTTATATTTAGGGCCAGGTTTTGTGTAATTTGAAGAATGAATGTGAACGCACCTGATAATTATATAAAAAAGTCATATCTATTAATTTTTCCTCAAATTGTATAGAGGAAAAAAGTTATATCTATTAATAAAGTTATATTTGACAATAATTCCAACACTACATAAATTCTTCTATATTTGCCAATAATTCCAACACATCAAAAAATTCTTCTACCGAAGAAATCTCCTTTAAACGCTTATATAATTAACCGCATAGACAAATTCCTAATGAATCAACTGAAAATGTCAAAGAAATATTCCAAATACAACTAGTGAAGATATTCTCTGAAGAAGATAAGATGAATCAATATTACAAGACATCAGTAGTCAGTGAAGATGTATCAAAGAATTGGGATAATATACACATGACAATCATAAAAAAAAAAGAATAATAAGTAAGTAGACAAAAAGTTAAAGACCTTGCCATTAATCTACATAACCAATCAAGGCAACTTTCCAACTCAATCTGAAACCAAAGTACCTCCATTATTAATCTCAAAGGACGCTCGTGGCTCCGCTTTTCCCATCCACTCGGAAAAAGGATTTTATGTTTTTGTTGTTGATTAGAGTCTGCTTTATATTTTTCATGTCCATTGTTAGTTGTTGAGTCTATATATAGTGTTGTTTAGTTTTATTTGTAGGTGCAAAGTGAAGAAAAAGTCTCTGGTTTGCAAGCACAAAGCTGTTTTTGGTCAAGAAAAATCTAATATTCTATAAGTCCTTTATAGTTATTAAAGTCGAGTTTACTTATCTTCTTGTTTCACTTGTTGTCTATGTAGCATGAAGAAAGTTGGTATTAGAGCCATGAAATGCTAATCTTTATAAGGAACTCCTATGTTAAGATGTAATATTAATTTAAATAAGCATCAACTATAGTTTTATCTTAGTACTTAAAGTCAGATTGAATTTTTATGAATTCTATAAATCTTTGTCTATACAAGAAGATAAAACTAACCCTTTAATTACTATCTTATAAAGTAAGAGATAACATGTAAGCTTCTTAAAGACTTTAATTTGTTAACATTGCTAGGTCGTTGTCCTTGATCTGAAATTTTGTTTGGACGTTTATGTCTCGATGCTATTTTACAAAATTTTAATCTTGAAAAAAACTTAATAGTGAACTAGTATATTGGTTAGAAATCCGACGACATAGGACTACTGATATGAAGGACATTGAAATTATACCTCATCAATCTGGTGTAACAATGTCTCATACTGCTCATGTTATTACTTATTTAATAATATAATAATTTTTGTGCTTACATAAACTGATAATACTCTACACACGAGTCTCTTAAGTGTTAATATGGCATCTACTTCACCATTTAGTTCTATTTTATCTAATTCATCTTCTGCCAGAAATCAAAACTTTAAAAATGCCGAAATATCGAATATCCTCTCAACGAAGACGAACTTAATAAATAAACAATTCCTAAAATAGAGAAATCAACATCGTATAAAACTGAAACTTTTGATTTTAAAGGCAAGTATTCTATTAAAACAGTAGAAAAATCAGATACTATAGAATGGAACCCATAAAAATTATACCTTTACCAGCTAAACTATATTTAATTGCTTACCTATTTTCAAAATTATAAATATAACATATATATTTAACTCAAATAATATTTAAGCTCTTAAACCTTATAAATGCTTCAACTTTAACCTGCTTAAGAAATGAATGATGTTTTTTAAATTGAACCTAATCATTAATGGAAGTTTTAGAAACAAATTCATGTCTTGGATCAGTTTATTTTTTATGCTTATCTACATTTAAGCCTATCTCTTACTGATGTCAACTTATTCGAAGTTGCTAAAGTACAAATACAAATGCATGGCTATAAATTTGTACGAGGATCTGAAACTATTGCATTAATATATAATTCCCTTTGCTAATCAGTTTACTAAAGAATATATAAAAACATAAATTAATTATGATGAATCAATTGATTCTATTTATCCTCCTTCAAAGTCTAGTATAACTATAAATGAAGAAAATCTAAAGCTGTCAGCATTCGAAAAAAAGAAAAAAAGAAGACAAGTTTGTATATGCATATACGTGCATACATACATACTATATACATATCATATATGTATATATATATATATATATATATATGTATGTATATAGTCTATCATGTTTTTTTTTTGTATTTTTTTTTTTGGAACCATTTGATGTGGTTGTTATTGTGTGGGCAGGGTTTTGGGCCCTCCCACACAATTTATTTGTATCATACTTTCTATTTAATATATTAGTCATTGTGTTTAGGGTTCAATGACTTATATATATATATATATATATTGAAAGTTCAAAAAGGCTAATATATTAACTAGAAAAAATGATACAGATACAATGTGATGGAGGGCCCAAACATGGCACCCTGCTCACAACAAAACCACAAGAGATTCCACAACTAGAAAATACTGAAAAGTACATTAGAGACATAAAGAAAAAGCCAAAAAATGCAGAAATACATAGTATCAGGTGGCTAGAGAGCAACCCAATTTAGTATATATGTATATATAGTATGTATGTACATACATACATACATATTCAAAAATACCTGAAGCTTTCCTTGTTAAAAGGTTTTGAAAATAAGCCATCAATATTATGGAATTCCAAGCAAAATTACAATGAAAAAATAAAAATAAATAAACTCTCCACTAAGCAGACAAAAGAAGCTTTCTCGTCCTAGAACTTATGCACAGGTTTTAAGATAAACATCCACGTAACTTTTATACAGCTAAAAAAAGGAAACCAGCAAACTCGAGGGGGAAGAGCTACAAGAACTCCAAAAATATTCTCCCGTATCAATCTAAATGATTTTCTACTTACCAGTTCCTTACCTTGAGGTTCCAATCCAAATGACACTCTCCGAGAACAATCATCAAATGGATGAATCTGCAATATCTGCCATTTTTTTTCTTTAATTAATGCCCTGTTGGGCATTTTCTGGGCCCTTAGTTGCAGTGCAACGGGTGAGGTGTGAAGCTGGAAGAGCTACAACAGATGGAGCCGAGGGATCTGTGACTGAGGCGTTTGGAGCTTCATTTCTGGCAAGCAACACATTTGAAATAGTTGCAGCATCCTCTTGATGTAGGGCAAGAGACTTGGAAACAGATTGGTTATCCTCCATTTCAGCTGGCAGCATCATTATTAACCATTTTATTTCCCGGCATATTAATGTACAATAAATTAAAGGGGCATTTACATACATACCGCACAATTCTTATGTATTTACATGTCTAACACTTAAACTTCACTTTGTGCATTTATACCACCCAAATCCTTTATTTTATTTAAAAAATATCACTACTTGTAATTTATAAAAAACGAAATACACCTTTTCATGCATAGGAAGGTGGCATATAGGTACAAATTGAATTTTAAGGGTTAGATATATAATAAATGGAAATTAAGGGTATGTATGTAAATCTTCCCAATGTAAATGTTCCAAGAATTAGGGGAGAGAAAAAGAGGGAGAGAGAGAGAAATGAACCTGCTTGAATTGTACCAACATGCATATTCCCCTGTGAAATAATTGGCGATGCCACTGCTCCCCTTCTCATTCTCGACTGCATCCAGATAATTTAATGAATTAGGACTTTTTTTTTCGTTTTGTTTTGGGAACAATATAGGATGATGTTGCTGCATATACCTTAGCATTTTCTTCACAGAACTTCAAAACAATTGAAATATTCGCATATCGACCATGGAACAAACTGTAAGCCCACAAAAGAAGCTTCCTCGGTATACTGAGATCAAGGAATTCAATCTTTCCTTTCTCCAGGGGAAGCAGTCCATCAACAGGAGCATGAGATGACGAAACAGTGTATAGATTGATGCCAGATGGAAGTGCGGCAGACGAGCTCTCTCGGAAGAAGTTGTAGGAACTTCTCATGAGAGCGGCTAAGGCCTCAAGATTCTCTTCAGATGCTTGTCTAACACAAACATCCTTAATTTTTGATAGAATCTGGTACCAGTTCAAATCAAGACCTTTGGAATGTGTTAAGCCTTCCAATAATGTTGTGCTGAAAAACTCATCTGGTTGGAGGTCAACATAAAGTAGGAGGTCATTCTCTGAAGCAGCAGCATGATGAGACAGATCAGGTGGGTAAACACCATCTGGAACAGGGGTTACTGAAGCTAGCTTCATAAGAAGTGCGCGACACCAAGCCAAAGAAGCGTGCTTATAAATTTTTGCAAAGTTAGTACTAGACAATTTTGAATTTTTGAAGCGCTTTCGGATCTTCTCATTAATCACTTCTAGAGCATCCAATCGGATGTCGCTCTCAAGTAAATCAATGTATTGATGGATATAACTGTAACGAATGATAGCTTAAAGAGGCTGATAAAAATTCCAGAAAGAAAAAATAAAAGGACATTTACATACAGACCACTCAATCCTATGAATATATATATGTAACACCTAAACTTGCTTTTTTGACATTTATACAACCCAAACCTTTCATATCACATAAAAAGTACCACCATTTTAACTTTTAAGCATAGGGAAGGCGGTATGGTATGTATGTAAAAATTGAGATTTAGGTGTTAGATATGTAAATACATAGGAATTGAGTGGAATGTATGTAAATCTTCCAAAAGAAGAAAAGAAGAGATCTACTGTAAACGTTCTCCCTACCCACACAGATTTGCCTCTGATATTTCAGAGTAATTCAACTCAGGTAAACTGCTCAAGTCTGCCAAAATGCTGACATGATCGATGAATAAGTTAAACATCCGGTCCAACAATTGCTCGAGAGCGTTCTTATCAGCTGATCCAACAGCCCCAGCATTTTGAATTGATGATGCCAAAACTTGAACATATTTTCCAATAGCTATAGGCACAATATCACACAGGCACAAGTAGAACTGCAAGGGGCAAATATCTGTTAGATCAGGAATGGTACAATAATAGTAAGAGGAATTTAAATACATAGCGCACAATTCTTATGTATTTACATATCTCACACCTAAACATTCATATTTACACACATAGCACTAGCAAACATTCATATTTACACACATAGCACTCAAATCTTTATATCACATAAAAAATAACACTATTATCACTTGTTAAAGGTGAAATGCACATTTTCATGCATAGGCTTAAAATACTGAAATGCTATGCATGTAAATATGAATTTTTAGATGTGAAGTACGTAAAATACATGAGAATTGTGTGCCAAATATGTAAATTTCTGTAATACTAATGCCAAATGGACATGTTCACGAAAGAAGGTTTAAAAAAGAAAGAAAAAAAAACTTTTATGAATTGTCTATTCCCGATTATGCATGCCTTTTTATCAGTCCGTAAACACGTATAAGCTCTCTCTAGAGTAGACAAGTCCCCAGTCCTTCCCAACAAGTCCAAATAAAATAAAAGGTACTTCCGGATGCAGGTGATAAATTTTCGAGAACTTTCTGACAAGCTAACCTCCAAATTCCTCTTATTTCCACCATGACCTGGATATTTCCGTCTGATAACAGAAAAAAAAAAGCCATCAGTTAATTGCAGAACATAGGATTCAAGGAATTAAGGCCCATAAAAATCAATTGTAACCGAAAGTCAAGAACAACTGACGAGTATATATTCAACATGAAACAAGAGGCCTTTACATATGTACTACCCAATTCTTATGTTTTTACAGATATAACACCTAAACTTTTCTTTTTACATTTATGGCGTCAAAAACTTTCATATCACATCAAAAATACCATCATTTTAACTTCTAAAAAGTGAAATACACCTTTTCATGCATAGGTAAGGTTTCATGTATGTAAAAATTGAAGTGTAGGTGTTAGATATGTAAATACATAAAAATTGAGTGGTATACATGTAAATCTTCCATAAAACAAATCAACTTCAACCCACAGAATGGAATTCACCTGCCCTTTTTGGTTGCACCGTCTATCTCCCACATATTTATTGTAAAAGCAGACCGTGATGACTTAAAGCAGAAGGAAAGTTCATCCTTTGCCCTCTCCAGATCACCAGGCTCACCCCTCCTATATAATCCCCGGGCAAGCATGTACCTTGCCTTGTGAAAGTGTTTCAGTTCACCACCCTCAACGCAAACTTGTAGAGCACACAGGCAATCATCATAAAGTAAATGCCATGCATCATCCAACAGAATTTCAGTGTTCCCTTCCTCGTTCGAGTTTTTTGGAGCTATATCTTTTGCACCATCAGAATTTAGAAGATCATCCGATGTCCAACCGAACATGTTGAGGACCTTTTCTTTTGCTTCATGATTGAAAGCATATGCAGCAACTACCTGGAAAGAAAAACAAGCCGTGAGCATCAATTTTGGATGTGGTAACGGTTAATTAAAGATTTCCTCACATCACAATATGTTAACCTCATATATGGCCCAAGTGTTCAATTTCAATGCATCTATTTTCCAGCAATCATCAGGAAGAAGATTGATTTCCACTAAGCAACTTGAAGCTCTGAACATTTCAAGACAAGCTCAAGGTGTTCATCCCAACACATTCAAGGAAAAAGTGAAAATCAATGATTTAGGTAGCTTAGCGTATATGTTTATTATTATTTACTAACAGTAATTGAGTTTGATTTCCCTATCGTCTCAAATTAATCTATATTATTCTAAACATGTTTTAGAAGCCACAAAAAATTAAGAACGTAATTAATTTGATTTTCTATTTATATGATCGATTATCTATTTACCTGCACAAAAAAAAAATATTTATTATTTTATTTAGTGATCATATGCTTAATTAGCTCATCATCATGACGCTAACCAGATATATTTATCGCATGGGATTAATTTTATTAATTACATCACTAATTACCTGATTAAAATTTAAGTGCTTTGCATGTGACAACTTTAACAATTTTAAAGATTTCGTATATTTCATAATAGGTCTTAATTGCTATAATATGCATAATTAACTTAATTAGATTTTAATTTTGATCCAAATAGATTCATTTAGTTGTTTACATACAATTTGATAAATTACATTATACATGTTGGACTTATATTCATTTAACTATGTTGAATGTTAAACTTAGTATTAATGATTAAACTAGCAGCACATAGTAGCCCAGAAAACACAGAATTAGTGCAAAATAGAGAGGGTTTAACATACACATGGCAAGGTCCCAATAAGTACACGCTACGGTAAGACGCACGCAACAAGGGTTGCAATGCCATAAAGAAGAATGTCTTAAATATAATTTTTCTTTTATGGCCGATGGTTTGAATCATGTAATGGAAAAAACTTGGTGAACGTTTTGGTGAATTATCCTAGAGGAACTGCATTCATAGAGAGTCAATTGATGCTAGTTCGTATTAAAAAAAATGTAATGAAGATGTTTGAATTTTTAAGGAATTTTATTAAGGATATTGGACCACATTGTATTATTCAAGCAATCACTAAGAATACTTATGAGAATCTTTTTGTTGGTTAGTGATTAAATTTTTAAACACATTTTTATTTGATTTAAGTTTAATATTTTTGCATGTCAATTACAGATTGGTGAATGTTTTGTGATATTATTTTAAGGAAGTTATTGATGGATAAATAAAAACCCTTATATTAGACTCATTGTTCTACTCATTATGTGGATTTAATAATAAACAGACAAAATTGATCTTAAATTTTGCATTTACACAATAGTTTCATCTTATATGTTAAGATTTATTAATTATATCTTTAATTGCATAATTAAGGAAAATAAGCTTAATCCTATTATGGTTTTTTATATGATAGCAAAATTATTAGAATAAAAAGTTTAATATATTTTATTAAATTTTCTTAATTAGGTTAAATAGGTTATTAATGTGATTATATGCATAATTATTTCATACTTAATGAATTTGATCTTAATTTAAATTCATTGTATCCATAAAACTGTTTAGATATAATTTGACGTCTTATATCATATGTAGTGAATTTTTTTTCATTTTGCTATGTTTATAACTAGACTTCATATTAATATTCAAAACTACCATTACATGGTACAAAAGACAGACAAAATATGCGCACAACAAAGCAGGTCTAGGGTACACAAGCTGAGTGGTACCACAGCAGGGGAAGAAAGCTTCTGAAACCGCAGTAGGGAGAAGAAAATACTACGTTGGGAAACCAATCAAAAACAGTAACAGAGAACAGGAAACAAACAGAAACAATGCACTTCAAGAATTCATAGATGAGACAAGACAATGGCTAAAGCACCACCTGAGAGCCACCTCAGGATACAGCAGCAAAGGGGTGACAAGAAAACCGGGACACCCTTTTGGAAAAGAAAGAAAAGCCTCCAAAATCTGCCCTCCCAAAACAGCCTAAAGCTCTTTTTATTGTTAACATAAGCTGTTCCTAATTATAAATTTGCCCTCCAAAGAGATAACATTGCAGAAAACACGGGACACAAAAAAGACATTAGGACAGCAAAAACGTCAAGCTTCAAGATCATTTTCTTGTTGTCTAATGTCTGAGTCCTGTGTTGAGTGAATTTCATGATCAAATAACTTTTGACAGGAAGACATGCCCCTTGGTGACATCCTATAAAAAAGATAGTTAGGAATGACCGAACCAGATATGAGTTCCATGGCGAGCTGTATTTCTTGCAAATGAGGTAAGCTGACTGTAATTCCCTTTGAAAAATGTCTGAAAACTATCATAAACATGGCTCTATAATAGCTAGAATCCCTGTCCAGCAGTCCCGATTTTCAGCAATTAGCAGGAAGTAACCCTCTTATCCTTCGTCACTTGTTGTAACAATGTAGCAGTCAGACTGCAGTTTGCAGCAACTGAACTACTGTTTGCAATAACCAGACTGTCAGTTTAATCTTTGTCCTAGGCATCCTCCTTCATTGGAACGAAGGTAATTTGTCTTCCATCCTTAACAAAATAGTAGGAGTAGGTATAACCATTGTTAACTGTCTGGTCATATAGCAACAGTCTCCCAAGCAATATATGACAAGCATCCATGAAAATGACATCACATTTAACTTCCCCTTGGAACTGTCAGCCAAAAGAAAATTATGCTAGACGTTGTCTGGTAATTTGGAGCTTATTCCCCTTCTTTAGCCATGTAAGTTGATAAGGATGTGGATGTGGTTATGTGATCAATCCGACTTTCTCTAGCATTATAGTAAAAATAACATTTTCACAACTTCCACTATCGATTATGAGATTGCAAACTTTATCCCGCACAATGCAACTTGTCCTAAAGATATTACAAGGAAGCCATTCTGGATTAAGAAAAGGCTTGGCATTCAAGAGCCTATGAAGGACCAATAGTACCCCCTCGTCCACATGCATCAACCACTCTCCTGCGGGGCTGTTGTAACCCTCCTCCGGAATTTCTTCCTCTTTTGAACTGTTTGCTTCCACCAATGAAATTATTTGGCGGTTAGGACAAGTGGATGTTATATGTCCAAACCCATAGCACTTAAAACACCTTTTTGAACATGGTTTTGCAACCATTTTTGTTGTTCCTTGTGGCTGAAATACAATTTGAGTATTGTTGGGTGGTTCGTCTTTCTTCTCAGCTCGTTGGACCTCATTCAGTCCAGGACTGAACCAATTTCTCCCCCATGGGATGGTGTAGGGTGCACTTTTAATCCATTTCTGTCGTCGTTTAACCTTGACAGCAAAGTTGATGAAATCTTGTAGGGTCTTTAATTGAATCACATAGGCTATAGATGGTCGAAGTCCACCCAAGAAATGTGCAATTGTGTGTTCTTCGGGTTTGGAAAGGTTACATTTCAGTCCTAGTTGTCCGAATTCAGCAGCATATCCTCCGCGGATAATTCTTGTTGGTTAAGGTGATATAATTGAATGAACACCTCTAGTCAATAGTGTTCCAGAAGGAATTTACGTTGTAATTTTTTCTTCATCTTGCTCCAGGTGGTAATCATGAATCAACCATCCCTTTGTCATGTTCTCTTCGCATTTTCCCACCAAAGAGAGGAGCTCTTCCTCAATTTAATGGCTACAAGATTCACAATTTTTTCTTGGGGAACTTCTTTCAAAATCAAGAATTCTCTCTACAGTATGCAGCCAATTAATAAATTCACATGCATCTAGCCGGCCTTCAAAATTTGAAATGTCGATCTTGATACCAAAATCAATAACCTTGTGGTGTCTTTCCCTCCTCCACTCATGCAGGAGCAGCGCCTCATCGCTGGAAGGTTCTTTGTGAAAAGGATTTTCACCTTCTTCCTCCACCGCATCCACGTTGGATTTCACGGTGCTATCCTCAGTGTTTTTTTGCTCCAAGACCACAAGCCATTCCTGTAGTCACCGGATTTCATGTTGTAAGTCTTCTATAGCCACTTCTTGATTGGATCTTGCAATATTTCTTCATGAATGCATGCTTGAGAGTAGAAAGAACCACAAACAAATGCAAGGACAGAAATCTTCTCACAACTTTTGGGCAAGAAATAGAATCAAGAAGCCAATCAACAGTCTTCTGTGGCTGTCCCGAAGGACCCAACGGCCTAACAGCAGCAGTGCCTGGTTCCAGCCGAGCTACCCAAGAAAGGACTGCTTTAATACCAAAATGATACTGCTGCAGGGAGAAGAAAGCTGCTGGAACCGCAACAGGGAGAAGAAAAAAACTGCAGTGGGGAACCAACTGAAAACCGCAACAAAGAACAGGAAACAATTGGAAACAATGCACTCCAAGAATTCGTAGACGAGATAAGATATTACGGCCAAAGCACCACCTGAGAGCCACCTTAGGATACACAACAAAGGGGCAGCAAGAACATCAATACACCCTTTTGGAGAAGAAAGAAAACTCTCCAAAATCTGCCCTCTCAAAACAGCCTACAAGTCCTTCTGTAGTTCACATAGACCCTAATTACAAGTTTGTCCTCCAAAGAAATAAAATTTCAGAAAATACAGGACACATAAAGAGACTAAAATATAACAACCACAAAGGACATTAGGAGGCGTCACCAAGATCTTTGCATGCCCTGATATATAGCCTATATTTGTGAAGAAAACCACCTAATGAATTTGTAAATTTAAAAATCCTCTACGTAAAATCATGTTGAGATTAGTCAAGACGAGTTTACCAAGTGTCTAGCAATCAAAAACAAATCCTTGAAGAGATCAATCTGGCCAATATCTTACATCTTTCAATCATTTAGAATTATTGTAAATTTGGCTTTCACATTGTATGCTTTTTTATTTTCACATAGAGATTGTATTGTAGTAAATTAGTGGCTGAACTTGATTCACAACCAAAGTTCAAGAGGACAATGGAGTAGACTTAAATGCAAATATTACGTTTTTGTGG